GCAACCAGATGAGGAGGGAGCGAGGCAATGGTGATGGCCATGTAAAGGTTTGACCTCCAGGAGCACCAAGCAAACTCACCCAGTAACCCCACCTGATGGCCAGAGCCCCAACTGTGACCATTTCAGACAACCAGCTTGTGAATATTCGTGCCACAGAGAACCAAAGTAAGGACCAGACAGTGCTGCACATCCTTTTCAGAACCACTTCTGAGTGCCATGTGAATTTCTCTCCCAATAATCTTTTTAAATTGGCATCGTAGATGCTATAATCCTTGGGGACCTGAAACACTGTGCTCTTCTGATTCTGGAAAAAATAAATTGGGGTGGGGAAAGCTTCTAGTCCATTGTGATATGCCCCTGGGAATTGAGCTCCACACTCTTGCCTAATTCTCAGTTATGAATGTGGACCACAGATGTCACTCTGGAATGCAACTTAGATTTCTTTCCTGCAGGAAACTCTTGAAAGCAATCGCTTATACAAGTGACTTTCTCTTAGAGCTTATTTAGTGCTTGCTTATTCGTTGTGTTTGGTGTTTCCTTTTCTTGCTAGGGGATTGGTCTTATCATGAGAAGCCACTCTATAGTTTGTAACTCTTCGCATCGACTGTGTCATCTGGCACCGTGAGTGTGGCCAACTTCCCAAAGGCAGCCCTCTGGCTGTTCCCTCCCGGTCTCCTCTGTGGACTCCTATTCCGTTTCCTGTTTCCTCTAAACATAGATATTCCCAAGCCGAGTTTCAGCCACTTCACTGTTCTTTCATTCCCTCCAAGAAGTCTCATCTTCTCAGTGCATGTTAAGGGCTAGGCATAGTCATAGTGTTCTCCACGCTGTATTCATTTCCCAAGGTTATTGTGACAAATTACAATAAGCGGGATGCTTAGAACAACAGAAATGCTTTCTGTCCCAAGAGAGGAGGCCAGAAGTCCAAAATCAAGGCGTGGTTTAGGTTGGTCCCTTTCGGAGAATCCCGGGGGATATCTGTCCCATACCTCTTTCCTAGCTTCTGGTAGTGGCTGGCAATCTTTGGCAATTTTTGGCTTGCAGGTACATCCTCCAATCTCTGCCTCCATCATCCGTGGCATTCTCTCTGTATGCTGTGTCTAAATTTTCTTTTTATTAAGGACGCCAGTCATCGGATTGATTGGGGCCTGCCCTAATCTAGTATGATCTTATTTTAACCTAATTATATCTTCAAAGACACTATTTTCAAATGAGGTCACATTCACTGGTTCAGGGTAGACGGATTTTTGCAGGACACCAGTCAACCAAGTACACATGCATGATCTCACTTCATCCTCACAACAACCTAGGCCCCATTATAATGAAGAGACGGATTCTTCCTAAATCTTCACCTCTACTATGTCTGTTAATGGGCATCATAAAATGTTACACCAGTGCTTCAAGGTGCACATTCCAAAAACACTCATTGCCTTCTCCCCATATGTGAAGGCCTACAGCACAATTCCAGAATGTCTGCTTAGGACAGGAAAAGGGTTATTTGGAAAAGGCTGTTCGAAACTGCCTTTGTGTAACACTTTACTAGGTGTACTGCTTAATAATGCAGATTATTTTTCTTCAGAAAATTTGACATATGGAGGTTTAAAGCTTGTTGTCAATACCACAAAATAGCATACATATCAAATCGCATATATATCAACGTATGTGTAACTCTATCTACTGGGAAAAAAAATCCACATTATTAACACATAGTACCGTATATAAGATTGAATAAATATCAATTGCCCATATCTAAACTGATGGGTACCAACACTGACTTAAAATAAGAGTGGCTCAAGGAATAATAGATTTAAGAAAATATTAAGGCTGTTTTTGTCTTGATTTCAGGATGGATGAATGGGCTATTTACAAATAAATGAAGTTTTTGTAGGGGTGGGGACAAAATGAGTTTGCTTTTTTTCAAGAAAAACTGTATCAAGCATGTCAAACTCACAGCCGCTGGGCCAGCTCATGCAGCCCACTGGCTGCAGGTTTGACATACTTGCCTTACAGGAAACCTAATATAAGAATGAAGTTGCTGTGGTTGAAAAGGGGTAGGGCCTGTATTTTTCCCTTATTTTTTCCCCAACTGTAAACATACCTAAAACACCGTGGCAGGATATTAGAGAAGCTAATTATTTAACATACTAGAGGCCTATTGCATGGAGATTTGTGCAGTAGGCCTTCCTTCACTTGGCTACCAGCACTGGCACCCAAGACCCAGGCCTTCACTCTGTCCAGAGTTTTCACTCCAGCCTAGAGTCTTCGCTGACTCTGGCCAGAGTCTGCAGGCTTCTCGCTGGCTCCCCTTCACTCCAGCCAGATTCTTTGCTTCGCTCGGCTAGAACGCTGCTCCTGTAGCTCCCTCCACCCCTCGCCCTCCACCTTATAACAAGTGTCCTGCCCCACCTGGCTGCTCTGTGCTTGGAGCAGCTGGGGGCAGGGCTGCTGCCATCTTTGTCCTACTGATTTGCATATTAACTCCTGATTGGCTTGTGGGCGTCTTGGAGGAACAGTCAATTTACATATTTCTCTTTTATTGGTGTAGATTCTTATAATTCTAAATAAGAAAGCACTTACACCATTCCAGATATGTAGATATTCACCCGGTTTTAAAAGTGTTTCCAAGAAAGACCCTTGTGGCCTTTTTTCCTGGTATGTAATAGCCTTCGATGCAGGGTGCTGGCCTTTACCTGTAATCCAAGAACAGCCCTGCACGGCTTAACTTCTCTTGCCCTTGGTTGGTTGTTGTGGGGCCTTGGATGTCCCTCCTGTTTGAAGACCCAGCCTGGTTTTCTTCAGAGAGAGGGTTGAGCCTTAACTCTTGGAATTGTACCTGCTCCCTCCCCCAACAGAATTTATGAATTAGGGTGTGAGTCCTTCCTTCCCAAAGGGGAAGACAAATACAGGCCATGAGGAAGCTGGTAAGATGTCTGGCTACAGGGCCTGTGAGGGACAGAGCCGAAGCTGGGCCCCAGAGCTCTGCATTTACCCAGAGACAAGAATAGGGTTCTTCAAGTTTAATTAAAAACAGGATGTCCCTGCTGGGCCTCTCATTGATGTTGCTAAAAATAAAGTAGGGAAGTAGCCTGGCTTCTTCTGGTTTAATCCCATTAAATTTGGGGGTGAGGGTGGAATTGGAGCTAATAAAAGACATGATTTGTTTCAGATTGCTGTCTGGAGTTGTGTCTTCTCCCTCCTTGTGCTCTGGAGTCCTGGATTTGGAAGTTCTAATGCAATCAGCTCTGGGTTGTTGATGCCGTGGGAAGCGAGCAGAGGAACAGACAATTCCCTAAATGTGATTTTGCCAGGCTGTCACCTACTTACTCTGGAAATCACTGGGTCTCGTCACCTCAGCTCTTTGCTCACTTCTCTAGTACCACCCACGTCATAGGCCTGCTTTTATGTAATTCCTGTCTGTGAGCTGATGCACACTCAAAACAAACAAAAACCAGCAACACTTAGTCCGAGGGCTATGAGAGCCATCTGCAAATGTGAGCCTCTTAAAGGAGCCCTCACTTCCTCCTCAACCCCACAGTGTGCTCCGACATTAGCTTCTTGCTCCATTCCAGAGCTCCATTTTGCAAATATAGTCATGGAAGAGCATCCTGACTTTCTTTGTGGGCTTTTTTTTTTTTTTTTTTTTTTTAAATTTTGTATGAACCTGTCCTTATTTCTCTGTCCCAACCCAACTCCTTTTGCCTACTAGCTAAGGACTAAAATTCTTGGAGACTTTCTGTTGAGTGTGACAGTTCGATATTCCTGGTACATTGTCTCATAAAACCACGCATCTTCCTTTGAGGCACTGCTTTCAAAAATAGTTTTACATTCATTTCTTTATTTTAGTAATGTTGCTCTGCCTTATTTAAAAGTAAAACCATGATGACAAGGATGGAGTAGATGATAAGGCCCGGTGTAGAATAATTGATCAATAAATATTTGATGCATGACAGAGTGAATAAGTGAATGGCTAAGTATGAGGTGGGAGAGTAAATGAAGAGCTCAGCAGATTTCAGATGCATCCAGTTTATCTCAAGCCCGAGATTGCATAACTATTTAATCCCAAACTTGGGTGACAGGTTGTTTCCACGGGAGGATATTTGGGAGCTCACTGAGAAGGAATGTGAGACAAATGCCATCAAAGAGAAGAGCATTGGATGGAGGGGCTGCTTGCCAGGGAGCAGACCAGGGTTTGCACTTGCAGAAGGTCAGGTCTTTGCCATCCTGAGGGACCTCACAGGAGGCCACAGCTTACCCCAGCCCATCGCTCAGGCCTGAGGAATGCCATCTGCAGCTGTTACACCCAGATTTCCTGCTCCCCAAAGACCACCAGGGAGCCGAGTCCGATGCAATAGCAGAAAGCCTGCTCCATGCTAGCATGGGCTCTGTCCCACTTACACCGACAGCGGCATGGCAGAAGAGTACGAGCTTCAACAGATCAAAGGGTTTTATAGGGGTGATGATGTCACTGCTTTGGCTGACCCCAATTGGTTGGGTAAGGGCTAGGGTCCAGTTACAAAATGGAGGCTCAGGAGTTTCGCCCTGCCCTCTCATTCCCAGGAGTTATCCCCGCCCTGCCCTTTCATAGCCTTCTCTTAGCAGCGCGGTCCTCAGAGGTCAGCATCAGGACCACACAGGAGCTTGGTAGAGATGCGGGATCTCACGCCCCCAGCCCACCCTCCTGAGTCAGATCCCGCATGGTCATGATCCCCAGGGCATCCATATGCACCCTACGGTGTGACACTCAGGGCTCCGGGGTCTCCCCGCCAGCTGCCCCTCCTGAAGGCTCTCAGTGCTGACATGAGCTCTGCGGCTTGGCTTCTCCTATTCATGACTGTGCCTCTTTTCCACAGCAGACCAGCGGGGACAGGGTGGCTCCCTCTGTGAAGCGAGGAATTTCCCTTCAGCTCACCCATGCGTTTGGGAAGTGTAATGACGGGGCTACTGTGGGCCCCTCCACGCTGTTTCTGACATCCCACGCTGTCGTTTGTTTCTGCCTCCAGGCGATCTACAAGATGGTCTCCTCCGTCATGAAGATGCCTGAAGATGAGTCAACCCCGGAGAAGAGGACGGAAAAGATCTTCCGCCAGATGGACACCAACAGAGATGGTAGGAGGACCAGGCCACGTGCCTTTGCTCAGGGTGGGGACTGCTGGAGGGGCTGGGCGTTCAGGCCGGGAAATGCCGCTCGAGGATAAGGAATTGGCCAGGAGGACCTGGCTCAGGGCCCTCTCTTTGTAAAAGGAGCTCATGCTGCCTGCTCCCCGGTGGTGAAGTTCCGAGGAGGATGAGGGTGGGGACAAGCCCAGGCCACAGCAGGCTGGGTCCTTGCAGGACAGCTCATCAGAAAGTGGAGAGGGGCTTGACATGCTAGCCGGACCCCTGTAGCTTTCACTTCGGCTGGCCAGGGGTTAGCGGACCCTCCTGCACATGCTCTGTGTTGGGTTGCCTGGAGCCCAGTGGGTTCTCACTGTCGCAGGATGGGCAGGGATGGGAGGGGAGTGATGTGGACATCAGGTTCTTCCCGGAAGGTGCCATCCCCCCAATTCAAACCCAGCAAGGGGCTGCAAGCAAACCAAAGTGGAGGGAAGGTTGGATTTCAAGCTCAGAGCAGAGGGAAGCTGTCACTGTTTCAACTACTGCATGAGCCTAGGCATAGCTTGCACAATGAAACCAAGACACACAGTTTAGGGGGCTCCTGCTCTACAGATTGAAAGTAGATAGATAGATAGATAGATAGATAGATAGATAGATAGATGATAGATAGATGATAGATTGATCCCCGCCTTTCTCCTTCATGTGGAAAAAGGCAAGTTTGGTTAACCAAGAGCTAGGACCTGGGGAGGGGCTGTGGCTAAGCAGAAGACGTATTTTGTTGGGGTAGACGGTGAGGGCTCCCGTAGAGGGCACCCTCCTGCCTGGAGCTGGAATTAGGTGACCAATAGAGCAATAATAGAGGGCAGAGGACCGAGCTTCATTGAAGGATGTGGCTCCGTGGGCGTGGGGGCCAAACCCACAGCAGCAGCGAGCAGGGCAGCCAGGCATCGGTCCTTGGAGGGCCAAGGGGAGCACGTCCTGCCAAGAGGAAGAAGAGGGCAAAGCTAAGGAGACAGGCCCAGCAGCTCCTCCCAGGGAGGCCCCCCAGGAAGCACCGGGAATGGGGAGAAGCTTGGCCTCCCTTCTGGAAAGGGCCCGTAAGAGGTTGGCCCCAGGTGGCTGAGTCCTTCTCTCCCAGCCAGGCAGCCAGCCTAGGAGGAAAGCATTCTGATTGATGGGAAGGTCCCAGGGGGCACCCCCTGCCTTGCACACACATTCCTTTATTTTCCTTACGTTGGTGGGGGTACAGCTGTCCTAGAGGGGCCCTCCCTCAGATATCAGCATGTCCCACCTCCCCATCTCACTCAGCAAACCTAAGTAACCCAGGTGACTATGACATCATGGGAAGGAATGGCCTTGGTGCCATCTTAGAGGCTGAGGGGACATTCCTTCCACAAATACCGAGAGAGCCGATCCAGGGTACCTGCAGCTGGAGAAGCAGGAGGGCTGGGGTCAGGGCAGGGCCACCTGCCAGGGCAGGCACATGGGGGCTCCCAGGAAGAAGTGTGCCAGCCAGGGGCAGGGCTGGCTCTGCAATCCTGTGCAAGAGCTGCCCCCTGGGCCTCCCACTGGGAGGGTGGAGGTGTTGGATGGCAGGGAGCAGGGGAGCCATCACTGCCTCCCAGATGCGGTGGAATGAGTTCTCCAGCTGCCACCTGCGGCCACTCACCTGTGTTCCCTCCTCTTGCTTCCTAGGCAAGCTCTCCCTGGAGGAGTTCATCCGAGGGGCCAAGAGCGACCCGTCCATCGTGCGCCTCCTGCAGTGCGACCCCAGCAGCGCCGGCCAGTTCTGAGCCCGCGCCCATGAATCGTAGAGCTGCTTGTGTTGTTCCCTTTTGATTTTTCTTTTTAACAATTTTTTTTTTCTTTGCCAAACAATATTGATGGTGATGCTGTCCCCCCCGCAGTCAGAGGCACCTCCCTCCATGCTGCTTTCCGCTTCTTTCATCGTGGACGCTTCGTGGAAATGCCCAGAGCCCCAACGCCTCGGGGAGCGCATGGACCGTGCTGTCGTGCACAGACTTTGTGGTGTTCGTTGCTCTGACGACTTTCATTGTTTTTATGATTATTTCCTCTTGGTTCTAACGTCTCTGTTCCAAAACCGAAGATGCGGGGAGGCAGGAGAAGGGAACCCCATCTGGCGCAAGCTTTGAGGGGCTTGATTGGAAAACAAACTCCCCCATCCACCCCCCGTCTGTTGTCACACATGCCCCAAGGGGTGATGGCACCAGATGTGGGGTCCCCCGCCTGGGAATGAGGAGCCTTCTAGGGCCAGGCTGTTAAAGGGGCCTGGGGAATTCCCCCCACAGGCCTGCTTCCACCCACCCCCTCCTTTCCAGCAGGCTGTAGTTTCTAAGCTGTGAACATTTCAAGATAAAGTAATAGTGGAGAGAAAAAGATGGCTCAGCTATTTCTTCACAGGTTTACACGAGTTGAGCTAAGATGAGTTTCTTTGGAAAGTGATCACAAATGGTAACTTGTATCCCAAGACCAGACCCATCTTGTTGCTTCTTGTGATTTAAAACAAAAACAAACAAACAAAAAAACAAAAGAAGAATGCTGTATATAAAATATTGGGTATTGCAGACCAAATTAAGTGTTTCGCCTTGTTTCAATGAAATGCATGTTTAGTGAGCACTAATCCAATCTTATTACAAAAGACTGTTTCTGGTAGCTTATTGTGAAGTAAGCCAATTATAATGAATGTCTATGTCTTGTTTTAAAGTCATATCTGTCTTTGCACCAATGCACCAATCAGCAGGTATATTTTATATATTCCAGAACAGTACCGAGTCATCCTGAACTAGCCCAACCTTAATGTTGAATGTTTTTCCAGAGTAGCAGTGCCTGGAGAATAGAAGCAGGGCAGGCCGAAGTGGGGACCCGCAAATGGAGCGCCAGACTGTTTACCTTATGAGAGATGTGAGGTGACGGGTGGCCCCCCAGCCCAGCATCTGGTTGGCAGTATCACATTGGAGGTGTCTGAGCAGATGGACATTCTGTAGACCCGGGAGAAATGTAGTATAAATTCTCAGGACTTCCCACTGGTTTGGTCCTCATGAATGGTTAGGGAGTCGTGTCTGGGAAGATGACTTTCCATGCCCCAACTGGCCCTACGGAGTCAGGGGGCGGGGGGACAATCATCTGATTCCTAATGAAGAAGGCACGGGCAAGTGCATCTGTGATTTTCAAGGCCCACGATGGAGAATCCAAAGGTGTTTTCCATCGCCGTGTTCTTTGAATGAAGGTTTCTATTTCCAGAAGCGACAGCACAAATTTGAGCTGCTAGTTTGGTGACCTCGGGCCCACTAGTTTGAATTGAAAGTTAAGAGTGAAATTTGCTGATGACAGGGGAGCCATATTTCAATAAGCAGGAGGCATGAGGAAACCCAAATGGTAGAGGGGGAAACCTACCCCAAGAAAAGGCAGAAGGCCCCCAGTGGGTCTGTCTCCTGCCTTGCTGTTTCCTGAGGACCACAGAAAGGGAGACATCATAGCCGTGAGGAAGATGATGCTGAGCCCTTTCTCACCTCCAGATTCTTGTGTATTTACTTGAATCCACCTTAACCGGTAGCAAAAATCCAAATTTGTGTGGTTGACCAACATGAACCTATTTTGCAGGATGAAATTTGAGACGTGGACTCCGTAAAATCATTTTAATCCTCCTCCGAGTGTGAGTTTCTCACAATTGTTTTACACGGAGACTTGCCAAGTTCCTCCATGGCCCGGGTGGGAAAATCTAGTTTTGGAAAAATAGGAGATTAACCTAAGACGTGAGTACAGAGTGAGGGAGGGGACCAAGCACCTCTATCAGTAGTGTCCAGGAGGCACACCTCACTCTCTCCCCACCTTGACTGAAGACCAAAATCCTCCTTTGAGTTCTCCTTAGAGCGTGGAGCGAGCTCATGTCTGGGAAACCCACCTGGGCTCTGTCCTTGGTCGTGATATCTTGCTGAACCAAACTCACTTTGTTTCCTAGAACCCGAAGCCGGAATGAGGAGCAGGGAAGAGGGTCTCCAGCTGTTTAGGAAAGAAAACAAGAGCCAGACGCACGGCTAATGAACGCCGACACGCTGGGGACATACAGAAATAGTCCTCATCCTGGCCTGCCATTGACCCTGTCTGTATTTTCTCGAGGGTTGTTTTTCTTCTCCTCCTTCCTGGGAAGGCCTTTGCAGGACGAATGCAATGCACTCGTTTTGGCCAAGGGACCCTGCAGCACTCAGAAAGTGGGATGCCTGAAGGTTTATGTCACTCCTGCGCCGGGCTGTTCATTGTCATTGCTGTGTTGAGGGATGGATTCTGCTCTGTCTGAAATCAAGCCAGCCTGTGATATTCAAGGGACTGGAATAAAGTGGTTTATAAATTGAAGGATGATACGGAGTGGTTGACTCTTCATATCCCTGTTTAGGGTCGGGAAAGGGTGCCAAGGGGGCTGTCCCACCCATCTCTGTGCCCCAGGGGGCACAAGTGGATTTAATCATATGCATACTTATAAACCCATCATTTGGAATGGACCCGATATCGGTTGACTTTGTGTCGCTCTAGCTTGGCAGTCAGGCACGTTGAGTGTTTAATGGTTGTCTGGAACATGAGGTTTCCATGCCGAAGCTGCCACTCCAGCTGAATCTGTGCCTGTGTGAGGGTCCAGGTGCCTGCTCTGGCCTCTTCCTTCTGGGTACAGTTTCTGCCCTCAAGAGACACAAGGAACCAGGGTTTCTGAAAGTGGGGGCAGGGGGAAATCAGAGAGGCTGCTGAGGCCCAAGCCCCATCCAAAAGCATCCTTGGTCTACACTTGGGCTTCCGTACTTCCCTCCACTTATGGCCTTCATGTTCTCACCTCTCCTTGCTCACACCTGCAAACCCTCGTTCTAACATTAGGTGCAATGGAAGGAGAAACTGAGGCAAGCTCTCCTCCTCAGTGGAAATTTGTGTTCTCCTCTTCCCTCTCTTCGCCTCTCAGTCTGGAGAAGAGTCAATAGAAAAGATGACATGATACAGAGCTCACACCCTCAAAGCCACTACAGATCAACTGTGCCTTTGTTTTTTGTTGATGTCGTTGGCCCTGCCTCCAGCACAGAAAGCCATTAATGTAGGGGAAAAATGGCTGGGTGTCAGCTGTAGAAGTTGCTTCATGGGCCAACTACACCTCATGTTAGAGTTGAGTTGGCCTGGAGTGGAGTGTTTTCCTACATTATACGTTTGCTCTTTATGGACCACAATGGCCCTGGAGCACACGACTATGCAGCATGATTAGCAACATGTCATTCGTGGCAGCGATGATGAGAAGGTGGTGGGAGTGTCCAACCTAATTAGGAACCTGTGGTCCCACACTTATTGTGAGCCAACCTAGAAATTTCCGGCAAATTTCCAAACCTGAGGCTCCTATTTACAGGGCATTGTCCCAACCCCCCAACCCAACTGGATCCCCTCATAGCCTAGTTCAGGCATGGAGGGTACACTTCAGTTGAGGAGGAGATGGCGTGTTTGTAGTCTTGGGGCACGGCTACAGTGTTTGGATGGGTTCAAGCCTCGGACTCTTGAGAGGGCACAGTCCTCTTGGGGCGACGTGCAAGTCCTTACTTGGAGGGCAGAGCCTCCCCACTCCCACCCCGCACAATGATAGCTTGAACCTGTGGTCTGAGCACATGGCCCATGCGTCTGAGTGATGTGGGCTTGATAGAGTTCAGGTGCATGTAGTTGAGTAGATTCGAAACCCGTGAGAATGCTATAAACATCTTGACCACGCCCTCACTTTGCCTCGTGACTTCAGCTCTAAAATAAAGATGGCTTGTGAGTGTCGGCGTTCTCGGGAAGCAGCGTCCCACGGAGACCCAGCTTTCATTCTCTTATCTGTCTTTTCTAAGCCTTTTAGCCACCCCCTCTCAGGGTCACCCTTGGCCATGCCAGCAACATGGGGAGATCAGGAAAACTGTTTGGGAGAAACAGAGATGCTTTGCATTTGCCTCTCCCATCTTCGTCAGAAGAAGCTCAGCACTCTCCCGAAATTTTCTGCTTTTCAAGATGGCTGAAGAAACAAGAGGAAGAAAAAGATGTTCAAGCCAAGGATCTAACCAACGGTATGTTCATCTCAGTTTTCTCTATTCTAGTACACCGACCGCGTGTCAGGACGTAGGTATTCATATGCCATGCTGGTCCCAGGCATCCCTGGGGTTGCAAACAATGATCACTTTGAGAATATTCCACAGAGTGTAGTTAACTCCCGCCGTGGTCGGCAAACTGTGGCTCGTGAGCCACAGGCAGCTCTTTGGCCCCTTGAGTTTTTAGCAAAGGCCAGCTTAGGAGTACCCTAATTAAGTTAATAACAATGTACCTACCTATATAGTTTAAGTTTAAAAATTTTGGCTCTCAAAAGAAATTTCAATCGTTGGACTGTTGATATTTGGCTCTGTTGACTAATGAGTTTGTCGACCACTGCCCTAGGGCAGCTCACAGAGGGGTTAGGGGTTTGGGGAGGTTTATTTCATGACTTTTTTTTCTCCACACTATTCCAGGAAAGTGGTAGACCAGAAAACCCCCTCAGGGAGTGTTTTTTGTTTGATTGAAATATATTTTTATTGATTTCAGAGAGGGAGAGGAAAAGAAAGGTAGAAACATCAATGATGAGAGGGAATCATTGATTGGCTGCCTCCTGGAATATTTCATGACTTCTTTTCCCCACACTATTCCAGGAATGACTTTTAAACCATTCTCCAGAAGAGATAGTGAAACTACTTCAAAATTCTGGACAGCTCAGCTTGCCAATCCTATTCAATACTCATAGCTCTGCCATCAATGTATCACACACATGCAGACAAATGGACAGACTCTCTCTCAAAATGTACCTTTCCAATATCAGTATTTAATCACTTTTCTGGTCTCACATGGAGTGTTCAATGCTGGCCCCACACAGAACCATGCAGTATATACATGGAGTTGTATATGTGTGTGGAGTTGGGGAGGGGATAGGAGTTATTAGCAAAGAAGTCCACAAATCACTGGTAAGTTCTGTCCAGCACCTTAAACATGACTATGAAGTATCTTACACCTATGTTCGATGGCAAAGCAGAAGTCAAGTTCTTTCTTGAGTGGTACATGAGGAAGTGTTTGCTACCCAAGAAACAATTGGGTGATATTTGCCATTAGTAGCCTTTCAACACCTCCTTCCTCTCTTTTGCTACTTCAGGATGATCAGGGGTCCCTCAATATGCTCCCCAAATACCCACGCACCCATTTAGCAGAGCTCAGAGAAGGTGCAGGGATGAAAGACCTTCAGACAAAGGATGTATTATATTCATTAGGGTGGTAGACCAGAAAACCCCTCAGGGAATGCTTTTTGTTTGTTTGAAATATATTTTTATTGATTTCAGAGAGGAAGGGAGAGGAAGAGAGAGGTAGAAACATCAATGATGTGAGGGAGTCATTGATTGGCTGCCTCCTGCATGTTGGACCGAGCTCACAACCCAGGCATGTGCCCTTGATTGGAACCGAACCCGGGACCCTTCTGTCCGTAGGCCGATGATGCTCTATCCACTGAGCCAAACCCACTAGGGCCACTCAGAGAATGTTTAAATGTGAAAGTAGAGCCCACTGAATCTCTGTTAGAGAACCTTTTAGAAGGAATTGGCGGTGGTGTCTACAGGGGCCGGTTCAGATCTGCTGCTGCAAGAACCTGCTTCTGGAAGCACAGCTCATTGACATGCTCCAGCTGCAGCTTTTGGCGCCACCTGTATTCACTCTGAGCCACTCTTCCCAGGCTGCTTCCCGTCAATGACGGCCCATGATGGGGTTATTAGAAACAGACCAAGCTTACCCCAAATGGATTCTTCCCACCAGTGACCTTTGCTCAGGGACTCTCCGCTCAGGACCCAGGCAGTCTGAGGCTCAGGACCAAGCTTCCTTCCTTTCCTCTCTCCTTCACAGGGGTTCCGTCTGCATGCTGTCCCTGTAGCCTCCTGCTCATTTCCCCTTTATCCTTTACATGAATTCCCACCGATAAATCTGAACATCAAATCCCCTCTTAGCTTCTGCTTCTTGGAGGACCTGGACTGATGACAGTGTTCATCCCCTTCACCACTGCTACTGACCCTCTGAAACAGGGCTCAGACACTGGAGAGGGCAGCCTTCCCGAAGTGAGGTTCACATTTGGGGACCTCCCACTACATTAAAAAAAATTTTTTTTGTTCAGATTATTATTCATCTCCTCCTCAGCACCATAGATTCCCCATCCCATGCCCTTACCACCCCCCCCACCACTGTCTTCATCCATAGGTATAAGACTTTTGTCCAATCTCTTCCCACCCCCTCAGACCCTCTTCCCCCTGAGAATTGTCAGTCCACTCCCTTTCTATGTCCCTGATTCTATTATATTCATCAGTCCATTCTGTTCTTCAGACTTTTTATTCGCTTGGTAGGTATGTATTTGATGTCTTTTTATTGTTTATAATTTTTATCTTTACATTTTTATTCTTTTTTTTATATATTTTATTGATTTTTGTACAGAGAGGAAGAGAGAGATAGTTAGAAACATCAATGAGAGACAGTCATCTATCAGCTGCCTCTTGCACACCCCCTACTGGGGATATGCCTGCAACCAAGGTACATGCCCTTGACCGGAATCGAACCCAGGACCTTTCAGTCTCCAAGCCGACGCTCTATCCATTGAGCCAAACCGGTTTTGGCTTCTTCCTTCTCTTAAAGAATACCCTTCAATATTTCATGGGATCCTGGTTTGGGGATGATGAACTCCTTAAGCTTTTTCTTGTCTGTGAAGCTCTTTATCTGAGTGATAGCTTAAACCTTCAATTCTGAATGATAGCTTTGCTGGGTAGACTAATCTTGGTTGTAGGTTCTTGCTGTTCATCACTTTGAATATATCTTGCCACACCCTTCTGGCCTGCATAGTTTCTAGTTTCTGTTAAGAAATCAGCTGGCAGTCGTATGGGTACTCCCTTGTAGGTAACTGTTTTTCTCTTGCTGCTTTCAAGATTACCTCTTTGTCTTTTGTCCATGGTATTTTAATTATGTTTAATCTTGGTATGTTCCTATTTGGATTCCTTTTGTTTGGGATTCTGTGCACTTCCTGAACTTGTAAGTCTATTTCTATCACCAGGTAGGGAAAGTTTTTTTGTCATTATTTCTTCTAATAGATTTTCAATATTTTGCTCTCTCTCTTCTTCTGGCACCACAAAAATTCAGATGTTGGTACGCTTAAAGTTGTCCAAGAGGCTCCTTACACTATCTTCATATTCTTGGATCCTTTTTTCTTTTTCTGGTTGGGTGTTTTTTGTTTCCTCATATTTCCAATCTTTGGTTTGATTCTTGGGGTACTTTGATCTACAGTTGAGTTTCTGTATATTTTTTATTTCAGACAGTGTATGCTTAATTTCTTACTGGTCCTTTTCCATTTTTTTTGGCATTTTCATTAAGATCTCATCAAGTTTCTCAGCTGTTTTTAGAAGATTCTTGAGTAACTTTATAGATGTAATTTTGAACTTTATGTTGTCTCGTAGTTTGCTTTCCTCCACTTATTTCATTGGGGACATGTTTTTGTGACTCAGCATTTTGGCTGCTTCCCTGTGTTGATGGAGTGGCTTTGTGTGGTAGGTGACCTATAGGAGCCAGTAGTTCAGCCTCCCCAGTAACCTGAGGTAGACGCTCTTGGTACACCCCTTTGTGGGCTGAGTGCAAAATCTTTGTGTAGTTAAGCCTTGATTGTTGTTGGTACACTGGAATTGTCCTCCAGGCCAATTGGCTTTGGGAACCTGCTGTGTTTATAATGGAAGAACTGCTGCACTGGAGATATGCTTATGGTATAGGACTTGTTTCAGTGGGGCTTTGGTGCTTACTGAGTCTGCCTCTTGGATGTGTCACTGTGGATGTGAGGAGTTGTAATTTGGTGTCTCACACTTACCACTAGGTACACTGGCTTCTGGATCTCCAATGGGGTGCAGGTCAGCTACGGTCTGAGGCCACCCTGCAGGAGCTACAGTGAGAACTACAGTTTTCTCCTCTTTGCGTAGGATTTGGAGGCTTTGGAGCTCTCTAAAGCGGGTTGTAAGTTTGCTAGGTTAAGCTGCCATAGAAAAGGCCATTCATATGCAAAAGGTTCTGCTTGGAGCTTGGGTGGGTTTGTAGGTTGTGTGGGGCAGGCGTCTCAGGACGTCACTAGGCTAGGGTGTGGCAAACAGCGATGGCTGGCTGCCAGCGTCCCTGCATCTCCCCATGTCTCGCATCCCTGCACAGCAAACAATTATTTCTGTGCACAGCTCTGCAAGCAAGCCACCCTCACTTTCCGACCCGATGGCAGACAGTCCAGCTTCTCCCCGAAGGAGTTTGGGTCCTGTGTGTCTCCCCAGAAACTGGATTTCAGAGAAATCAGGAGCTTGTCTCCCTTCGGGTTGAAGAAAGCAACGCCTGCCACCAGCCAGGATGGCACTCACACCCTTGTACCTCGGCGTTTGTGCATTGAATTCTTTCTCTTTCCTTCTAGTTGCAGAACTTCCACTCAGCCAGCCCTCCCATGGCTCTGGGTGATAGACATTTTGTCTTTTAGTTGTAGTTTTGAAATTGTGCAAGGCAGCAGTTTAGGTGTTTACCTACACTGCCATCCTGCATTCGGACTTGGTTTTATTCTTATAATCCTCCCACCACATTTTGGAAGGCTAAGAATAAGAGGGATTTGTATGCATTAGAACTGAGGGGGTGACAGAGCTATTATCACTTTGCACATCAGCCTCTGTGTCCCCAGAATGGGGCACAGCACTTGGCCCACAGTAACTGAATTGGCAGAGTGGAAGGCAAGAGGTGGAACTGAGCCCTGTGGCCTTGACAACTGGTCATCCTTGCCTAGTGGGAGAACTTGCCTGCAAAGTTGACTGAACAGCAGGAGAATGAATGCCATGGGCCAAGGGAGAGATTGCCTCGGGGGATGTGCGGAGACCAGCTGCATCCTCAGTGGGACCTACTTGGGCCTGTGGGGAATGGATTCAGACCCCCTACTTAGACCATGTAACATGGATCATGGCAACAAGGCATTGTGGCTCATTTCTAATCCCATGATCTTTCCAGAAACCTCAAGAAGCACTTTTTTGAACCTCCTTGCCCTGCCCACTGGTCCAGATATGGAGGATGCTGCAGATGCCACTGGGATGAAGTCAGAAGAAGGCTTTCTGAAGGTAAGTTTTCAGCAAAGATTTGGAAGCTGTGGACAAGGACAGAGGGAGAAGGTAAGATGTGGAAGCACATAAGTGCCATTTGTTTGGCACAGAGAGGCTCTCGGGAGGGAATCAGGAATTGTGGGCAATTCAGCGGGTGGGTGTTCTTTGAGGAAACACCAATAAATACCGGGATAGTGGATAGAGGGGTTTACATCTGAGCTGACCTTTGGGTTCCAGGACAAAAGATTGTTGTGATGAAATTGATGTTTCAGCACATGGTTTTGGCCTCTCTGTGCAGATGGACTAAGGAATAAGCTCTGGGCTCATTCAAGAGGGGGTGAGCTGGGAAAGAGGAAGGTCAAAGTGCATGGGCTCTGCCCTGAGGAACTGGTCAACAATAACTACCCTGGTAGCTTGTCTCTGTCACTCTGGCTTTATTCAGTCCTCTTCTCACTTGACCTTGGGGTGGGACATAAAGTGACCAGGGGAAATTCCCACAGTGGTGAAGCCCAGCACTGGAAGGGGCCAAGGGGAACCTAGCATCTTCCCAGCTCACACAGGGGTTTCTTTCCGACCAAAGAACCCCACCACCAACCTCACAAAAAGTAGCTGACACTGTTATTTACTCTTACTTTATGAATATTTATTTTTTCTTCTTAAAAATGTACAAAAAATAAAATAACTGTATTTATATAGATTCCCCCTCTCCCATTTACAAAACTATTAAGTTACATTTGCCTTTTTTTTTTTTTAAAACACAAGAGCAAATTGTCCATCTAGCAATCTCCCTTGCTTGTCTTTAAGAAAGGGCTGTTCATAGAATTTGGCACAAACCCTCTGTTTTCATTGCATTTCATGATTTTAAATAAGAAGGAAAATAAATGTTGGCTTCATGCCATGCTTCCTATGTTTGGGGCATGGGACGGGCCTTGGGCTTTTAGGGTCCAATTCCCAGATGACATCTGACTGCATTTTTCTGTTGGTCCCAATTTCCAAACACCCGTAAAGTCTAAGCAATTTGGGTCTGTACTTAAAACACTTGTTTCACATGTCCCTCATTGTAAATGCATTCTTTTCTTTCTTTTTTTTTTTTAAAGCTTATTTATTTGAGTGTGATTGACCTAGGGGACAACAAAAGGAGGCAAAATTTCCTATTTTTCTGGAGTGTTTTTGCTCAGGAAATTTTCCTCCACAGAGCTCTGCTACTTTCCATAGTGAAGAACAAATCATAGCTAAGCCATGGGCACTCTGAGAACGCAGAGGGGACCTGGTAAACACGAGGGACAGATCGGATGGGAGGTGGCACTCTGCACCACCCTTTGGTGGCAATGACCACATGTTCTCTGTTCTGGCACAGTGGTCACCCCAATGATTGCTTAGGGACTGGGGACAAAGGCAAAAACATTTCTGATTCATTCTCTGCCTAGGGCAGAACCAGCCAACATTTTCTCTACAGAGTCTAGAGCAGTGGTTCTCAACCTTCCTAATGCCGTGACCCTTTAATACAGTTCCTCAGGTTGTGGTGATCCCCAACCATAAAATTATTTTGTTGCTACTCATAACTGTAATTTTGCTACTGTTATGAATCGTAATGTAAATATCTGTGTTTTCCGATGGTCTTATGTGACCCCTGTGAAAGGGTCGTTCGACCCCCAAAGCCACAGGTTGAGAACCGCTGGTCTAGAGAGAAGGGTAGATAGCCTATGTCAGATTGCCAATATTTTAAAATCTTTCCCCTAGCCTGGTGTCCTATTCCCTAGTCCAGTAGTATTTGCCATTGTGTCCACCAATCATGTTTGAAACCACCGCTAAGGCCAAGGAGCATGGGAAGTGCATAGTATAGCAGATATTTCCAACACTGAGTGTGTCCACCTTACAACAGAGCCCATCAAGACCCAGAAGCCCCCCCCCCAACCCCCACCCCCCAGCGGCTAGTCCAGGACATGACAGTCAGAGTGGAGAAGGAGGGGATGACAGGAGCAGAGCTGTACCCAGGATGCAATCCTTTGGCACCACAGGAAGGGTGGGCGATGAGTTGTCCAGAAGGCACACAGCCAGGTGCCCCCTTTCCACCACCCAGAGGTCTTCCTAAGCATGGCACCTGCCCCCCATTCCATTCAAATCCTCTGCAGTGTTAGAGAGAAACAGCTGGGCTGGAGGCAGCCCGTCCATCCTGCTAGGGACCCCAGGGGCAGGTGGCTGGGAGAGCAGGGAGCCCTCGGAGAAAAAGCCCCCGGATAAGACATCAAAAGTGCTTTACCAACAGATCTGGGCCCTCACAGAAAAGCTGTCCTGGATCTCGTACCTTGGGTGGGGGTTGTGTCTGGCTACCGAAAAGTTGGTTCTTTCACCCACGAGGGTGAATGCGAACCCCTGGACACCTACCTGCTCCCTCAAAGGGAAAAGTGGCCCAGGACGGTTCAAGCTTTTGCGATTGCTTAGGGAAGTGTGTTTTCTCCTCTCTCAGGACCTGTAGCAGGGGGTGGAATTCTCCTCTGCAGGCTGGTCTCAGAGGAGCCAGGGCTCTCTCCTTCCCTCCCTTCCTCCCTCCCAACCCAGCAGCCAGGAGCAGAGGCCACTGGTCCCTCTCCCTCTAGCACTGAGGCCCAGGAGGCCGCCCTGGCCTGTCTGTCCAGACATGAGCTGCTGGCACCGCTCTCAGCATTGCAGTTGGGCTGTAAGGGGGGCCACTTGAGATGAAGGACATGCTCGTAAACTGCAAGGCACTGCGCAGCGGCCGAGATCCTCAGGACAGGCTCAGGCAGTGCCGGCACCAAAGCTGGAGGAGCTGGGGCCTCAGCCTCTCTGACCTTTCCCACAAGGCAGCTCAGAGAGAGACTCCAGCAACGCACATCACCGCGAGACAGAGGCGGCGGTGGCGGCGGCGGGCTCCAGAGTAGGCGTGCCCATGGAGAGGACGGGGCTCCCTCTGCAGACAGGACTGAGTTCCTGGCCGTGCCCCCTGGAGCTTGTCTTGGCACCCACCGTAGTCACCTACAGCCTGGAGGTCACTTCCCCAGCCCAGCGTGCTTCCACACAGCAGAGAGGCAGAAACCTCTGGTAGAAAGCAGTGCCTCCCCTAGGCCAGTGGCAGTAAACATGCCCACATACCACAGGCAAAATATATTATTGCAATATTATAAACACTATGTACATGATAGCCGGCATGCCTTCCGTGTCACCTTCTAAGTACATGGCAGCTGAACGTCTTCCTGCACAAGGCCCGATGGCCATGTGCAGGGGACCCCTGGAGGTATCCAGCAAGATGACCTCCCCCGATCAAACTGAAGGGTTGACCAGCCAGGGGACCCCCACCTCTTACCCCACCTCTGACCACTGCACCCAGAAGCAGCTCCTTTGGTCCAGCCACTCGGGAGAAGTGGAGAGGTGAGACAGGTGGGACCAGACCTGCTCAGGCTCTTCGAGATGAATGGGTTGGCGGGGTGGCTCTTGATGGCGTCACCTGGAGCCAGCAGTGACCTGCAGAGTCCCGGCGGGCCTGGTCCTGGGCTCCAGGAAAAGGTGGTCAATAAATAAAAGTCTGACAGGTGCAAGGTCCCTTCCTGAGGGGCTTGGGCCTCAGCTCCAGAGCAGGAGCTGGCGGATGGGCCGGACGCACTGACGAGGAGTGGGGCTGCACACCTTGCCCCGCCCCCAGCACGGTCGTGTAACAGCAGTTGTGAGACAGGTGAGGTGGGTCTGCGGGTTCCAGGGCTGGGCCTCCTCCTTCCCCAGGGAGGAGTGCTCCGAGGGCTCCTGCGAGGGCAAGCCGGCCAGGCTCAGATCTCCATGAGTGTGATCTTGAAACCTTCCACCATGCTCTCCATGTTGAGGATGAAGGTGTCCTCATTGGAGTAGTGCTCAATAATGTTGTCGTCCATGTTTACCAGGATGCTGGAAGGGGCGGGGGGAGAGGGGAGAGACAAAAGTGCCATGAACAACATGCTTAGGAAAGGATGGACCACAGGCTGGGGGTCCCCTTTGCCATTCTTCTTCAAGGAAGGCCAGGAGGGTGGAGGAGAGAGGCGACAAGGCAAGGGAAGAAGACACTCATTCCATCGTCTTTCTCCAGAAATCAGCTGGAGGAAAGCAAGGCCTCAATTTCTCAGAACTAACCTCCTGATTCCTAACAGGACTTCAGAGGTCATTCAGTTCAACCCTCTTGATATAGATGGGTAAACTGAGGCCCAGGAGTTAACAGAGGCTAAACTCACAGACTTGGCTATTGACATACTGACAGAACCAGGACCTAAACAGTTAGGTGCCCCATTTTCATGGCCTCTTGAGAATGCATTGTAAAGACTATTTCCCACTTTTTACGGGAGGAAGAGGACGTTAACCAGAACTGCAGCTAGCCTCCGCTGAGCATGTCCTACGTTCCCGGGTGGCAGAGACCCTGCCCTTTATCCTCACAGCGACCTTGCAGGTAGGTGTGATCGGTGCCATTTTGCAAGAGAAAACTGAGCTCAGTGAGGTTAAATCATTCCCCAAGGTCATGGCTGAGTAGGGTTTTGAAACTAGCTTTGCCCCATCTGAAGCTCATCCTTTACCACATGTGATCTACTCCGTGGTTACTATCCCCAGTGGATTTAGTTGTGAGAAAGTCAACGACTTCCAGGTTCTGTCCATGATTTCGCAGTTCTGGAGTCAATCTTCTCCATTAAAGTCAAACAGATTCTTACTCTGAGAATGAAAAACTTAACTATCGTTTTACAGCCATGTGTCACCGGGCCAGTTGTTTAGACTTTGAGAGCTTCAGTTTATTCTTCTGCAAGAAAAAGAATAACAACCCTGCTCTAAAGGCTTGTTGTTAGGATTAAAGTATTTAGCCCAGGGCCTGACGCAGGGCTCAATGAAAGTGAAATGTTAGCATCACTGGCAGGGGCTTCGCGCTGAGGGTTTGTGCTCAGCAGACACCACTCGTCTCACGATCAGGGAGTAAACCCAGACTGTGGCATTGACCTTGGGAAGAATTGCAAAATGCATGCTAGTGAGCTTTCCAACAGAAGCTCACGTGGAAAGTGTTTCTTGCTGGACTCCCCATCAACCAAGAGACCCCATGACTGAGAAAGGCTGAGCTACCCAGAAGGATAATCTGTTTCCTTTATGAGAGGCCCAGAGTGAAGTTTCAAGACCCATTTCTGCTTCTCATAGGAAAATGGCCCCAGAAGCTGGCTTCCTAAAGACCCTCCGGCACGAGTCTCAGCTCTGCAGCCTCTACTCCTAGAGCCTCAGGGGAGGAAGCCCCCGGGGCCTGGAGGTGGCAGAGAGCAGAATGAGGCACTAAGCACTTGGGCTCTGGGGCCATGGGCCTGGGTTCAAATCTGTGTCCTACCTACTGAACACGAGACCTCAGGCAAGATGCTGAGCCTCCATGCAGCTCACTTTCCTCATCAGGAATGGAGGGGTAAAATCTATCTGATAGAGGGGGCAGGAACAGAGCAACGCATAGCAAACACATCTCAGGGGACACAGAATCCACCGAATACCCACTAACGAGAGTTGCTGCTGTTAACACTGAGAACCAGCAGGTCCAGCGATGATTTAGAGCAGTGATTCTCAACCTTCCTAATGCTGCGACCACAGTTCCTCTTGTTGTGGTGACCCCCAACCATAAAATTATGTTTGTTGCTACTTCATGACTGTAATTTTGCTATTGTTATGAATCGTTATATAAATACCTGTTTTCTGATGGTCTTAGGCGACCCCTGTGAAAGGGTCATTCGACCCCCAAAGGGGTCGCAACCCACAGGTTGAGAACTGCTAGCAGGGTCGCCTAAGACCATCAGAAAACAGATATTTATATTACAATTCATAATAGGAGCAAAATTACAGTTATGAAGTAGCAATGAAAATAGTTTTATGGTTGGGGGTCGCCACCTCATGTGGGGACTGTATTAAAGGTTCGAGGCATTAAGAAGGTTGAGAACCACTGATTTAGAGCATTTTTGCTAATAGTTACTTGGGAAGAAAGAATCCTTTTTGTTCCCTCTGTGTAGCGTGGAAGCCAACTCCAAGAGCAGCGTGGGAGTCACTAAAACTCCACTCTGCAGAAGGGTGACCTGGCCACTCTCCCCACTTCCAGGCCCCTCTCTTCCACCCACTAACCCTGTCACCGGAATGACAACGCACAACCCTCCCGCCCTCTCTCATTCAAGGGCCTTGAAATTCATTGCACCTGGGAGAAAGATGCACAATTTTATAAAAGGTGGACAATGGAACCTAGCAAAAGAGAGGCACCACCTTTTTTTTTTTTTTAAGCACTATGTTGACTTATCTGAAAGTTAATTTAAGTTCAATTTTTTTCTTACCCTTTTTTGCTTTTCTTGTAAAGCTTTGTTATCTTCTCTACCGGCAGCCCATATTTCTCAGATATCTGTAACACCAACAACAAAAAGGCAGGTGAGCACAAAGGGGAGTCCAAGCAGAAGCACAAGAAGAGTTCTGACTTAATTCTCTGGGAGGTTTTCCTGGGAGCCAGTGTCCTTCACTCACGAGTCAGACTCTCAAAACGCCTCATTTGCAAGGCCTTCTTCTTCCTTTGGACAAACCTTCCATCATTCACCAACATTTTTAGCCTCATGAGAACATAATCTATGATAACGGTGTCATTCCAGATCAGTCAGGAAAGGTGGGCCCTTATTATGATGTGAATTAATAGGTGGCCATATAGAAAAAACTTAAGCTAAACTAGATGCCTTCTCTAGACCTATACCAAAATAATCCAATCAAAGGTTTCCATATAAGAAGATGAAACCATACAAAAAGAAACCAGTGGGTCAGTTATTTGTATGGATATCATCTTCAAGTAAGGAAGATCTTTCCAAGCAAGATATGAAACCTGAAGAAAAAGAGACAAAGGTTGATAAAAGTACTGATATAGCAAAAGCCGCCATAGAAAGCTGAGGCCAAAGAGTACACTGGGAAACATTTTGGCAGCACGAATGACAGACATGGAACTAATTTCCTTAAGTTAGAAAGAATCCCTGAAAATCAAAACAAAAAACATCTGACAATTCAAGGGAAAAGGTAAAAAACACAAAATAGTAATTTGCAGAAAAAAGTTAATAGGACAATAGGCATATTTTAAAAAAGGCACCACCTCACACATAATTTAACTACAAGTTCAAATTAAAGCAACAAGATACTACTTTTAATCCACCAGACTAACAAAAACTAACTAAAAATACAGTGTCAGTCAGTATGGGAAACAGCAACTCTGATGTTCCGTAGATGAGAGAGTGACAAGCTCAATCGCTTTAGAGGGAGATTTGGGATATGTTGTTGAAGTTAAAAATCCATATCCCCTTTGACCCATATATGTCACATCTAGCCGTCTGGTCTACAGAAATACACTCAGATGTATGCAAAGCTCCTCAAAGAATCACTGTTCATAATACAGACACTGTGGATCACAAACATCCATTAAGCACATATTTTCACAGTTGAAAACTATGCAGTCGTTATGTCCTTAAAAAAAGTGAGAAGCCTACAAATATCTATACTAATAAAAGGGTAATATGCAAATTGGTCAGGATGCCCTCCCAGAAACAAAAGAACAGCAGGCTGCATGGGGCAACAAGGCCAGCAGGGGGGTTAGTGAGGGTCGACCAAACAACTGAATAGCAGGCAGGGTGGGATGACCAGACCGGCAGAAGGGGGCAGTGAGGGGTGACCAGGCTGCAGGGGGGAGCAGTCGGGATGACCAAGCTGGCAGGCAGATGAGCAGTTAGGAGCCAGCAGTCCTGGATTGTGAGAGGAATGTCCAACTACCGGTTTAGAACAGGGCCTAAACAGGCAGTTGGACATAAGCCAAGGGGTCCCAGATTGGAGAGGATACAGGCTGGGTGGAGGGGACCCCCCTCTCTGTGCATGAATTTCATGCCCTAGGTCTCTAGAATATATATATATATATCTTAACATACTATGGGAGGAAAAACAATTTGCAGAACAGTCTATATATAGTGTAATGTCATTTGTATTTTTAAAAATAATATGTGTAAGAATATAGAAAACATTTCAAGGACCCACCAATTCATTAAGTGGCCACCTTGAAAGAATGGATGATACATTTTTAAAATCCTGGCTCATTTGAGAGATGTAGATCACGCTTTTGCTGTGTTTGTTTCCATTTTGTTTTCCTTCAGGTTCAGTAACAGTGAACTCTGTTCCTTTGCAGAAACCTGAAGAAAACACTAACATGCCCTCCATCAGTGTTTCCTAGAGGGCGGTCCCTGCTCAGAAATGCCTGGGGATTGGACTGCCAACAAAGCCAACCACAGGGCCAGGGCAAAACCTCTCCTGGTGATACCCCTCTGTATCTAGTTTGCCATTTTTGCCTTTTTAAAGTGTACATTTATTTCAGTGGCATTTAGTCCATTCACAATGCTGTGCAACCCTCAGGACTTCCTAGTTCCAGAACATCCCATCACCCCAAAAGGAAAACTCATTAGTCTCGTCCTATTACTCCATCAGCTCCTGACAACCACTAATCTGCTTTCTATTTCTACGGATTTGCCTATTCTTGGCATTTCCTATAAATTGAATCATATAATATGTGACCTTTTTGGTCTGGCTAGCAATTCCGCTCCTTGGTGGACAAAGAACTGAAAACAAGTGTCGAAGGCTTGTACACGAATGTCTATAGCGGTACTATTCACAATAGCCAGATGGTAAAGTATCCAATGTCTGCCAGCTGATGACTGGAACACCAAAATGTTTAAACAATGGAATACTATTCAACCATAAAAAGGAATTAAGTGATAGCATCAGAATTAACCTGGTTATTGAATAACAGGAGTAAAGGGAAGACTGCATACATAGGCACGCCATTTATACAGCTTTGCCAGAAAGCTGCAGTTAACACTTTCAAGTCTGTTGCCCACAGCTCACTGGGGGGAAGGGATGGGCAAAAGAAAGATGCCCAGTAAGGTCTGGGCAACGTGGGAAGATGCTTACCTGTCAGCCACACCTGGGAGTGAGTCAGTGGCCAGAATAGGAGTGGCCCCTGCAAGAGCACAAAATCTGAGATCCTTAACTCCTGAACAAAGGAAGTGCTCTCTCTCACAATCGTGAATTCTTAGTCTCTTTCTCTCTTGGGAGATAATGGATCATGGACTGTGATCAGCCTGAGGCCACAATGGACCCAGCCACGAAATGGGAACTCTGCACACTGGCCCTGCTGGAACCCCAGCTACACTTTTTTCAGGACTGGATTAAGGGACATGGGACTTTGCAACCCGAGAAATATAATTCCACGCCAATAAAAATGACTCTTTCTCCTGTGAGAATTTCAGAAAATTCCTTTACTAAAGATATTGTAAGAGCCCAAACCAGTTTGGCTCAGTGAATAGAGCATCGGCCGGTGGACTAAAAGGTCCCAGGTTCGATTCCAATCAAGGGCATATACCTTGGTTGCGGGCACATCCCCAGTAGGGGATGTGCAGGAAGCAGCTGATCGATGTTTCTCTCTCATCGATGTTTCTAACTCTCTATCCCTCTACCTTCCTCTCTGTAAAAAAATATCAATAAAATATATTTTTAAAAATTCACCTATATATTTAATAATAATAAAATATTGTGCCGGGACCGGTTTGACTCAATGGATAGAGCGTCGGCTTGGGGACTGAAGGGTCCCGGGTTTGATTCCGGTCAAGAGCATGTACCTTGGTTGCGGGCATATCCCCAGTAGGGGGTGTGCAAGAGGCAGCTGATCAATGACTCTCTCTCATTGATGTTTCTAACTCTCTATCTCTCTCCCTTCCTTTCTGTACAAATCAATAAAATATATTTAAAAAATATATATTGTAAGAACCCCATTCCCACTAACAACGGAGAAATCCTAACAACCCAATCCTATAACAGAAGTCCCGATTATACTACAACAAGGAGAAACCTCAACACATGCTGAAATGTGGCTGAAATAAACCAGCCACAAAAGACCATGAATATCAATATGATTCCACAAGTAGGCACGATCCTATACATTTTACCAGTTTGCCTCATAACCCAAAATGCTGTTTCCAATGTAGCTGTCCCTTGGAAGTCCTGTTGTCTCCATCACTATAAAACACACACACACACACACACACACACACAATAAATAAATAAAACCTAATAATCTACAGCACAGTTGTATAGGGGAAAACTTTAAGAGGGAGTTATAAGCCATATTCAAAGTAGAGTCCATTAAAGTCATAGTCAGATAAATAACATGCATAAAAATCTTAAAGGCTGCATCTTAACGAAGGGATGCCAGCTCAGGAGAACACAAGCAGCTTTCCTAGAAGAGGGGTTCATGGCTTACCGCTTCCATCAGGCCCTTCACGGTGGGAGATTTCAACATCAAGGCATCGAACACGTCGTCCGTCTCCTTCCTCACGTACAAAAGCACTGGAAGAGCAGGGGGGGAAAGGGTTAACAAGGAGCCCACACAATCCCGCAGGCGCCACAGGAGACTGCTTCCTGTCACACAGGCCTGGACACTGATGTTATCCATGGATAAATCCCGGTGCTCCAGGGCCAATGACATCCTACGCGGGCGAGGAGGCACTTCCCTAGGCAACCTGCGGCCAGGGACTGGGAAGGAGCAACGCGATGGCATCTGGGCACCGACTGACAACTGGGTACCGACACCCAGCTGTTTCACACACTGTTCACATGTGAGTTTCTCACAGGGTGTGTGCATGACCTCTCTAGACCTGAGACCTCTGTCTTCTGTATATGTACTTGATCATTCAATAACTATTCCTGAAGTCCCACCTGGGCTCCTAGGCCCCAGGCCATGTGCGAGGAGCTGAGGTCGCAGCAATGAGCGGAGACGCAGCCTGTCCTGAAGCTCATGGTCCACTTAGGACGGCGGGCATTCCTGAGAGGCAGACAACTACATAGCCGTAACTAGATGGTCAGTTGTGTAGGAAGAAAACAGAAGAACAAACCACCTGAAGTTCTGCAGCTTCTTGTCTTTGCCCAGTATAAAAACAAAGTGCCAAATAAACATATGGAGTGAGTGTGCCTCCAGAGACTTCCCAATTCCATCCTTTGGAAGGAATATCTTATAGTCTCCATTTCAGCTAAAATGATCTAGTGGCAAACCATCAAACCTCAGAGGGAAGGTGGGGGAGAGGTGGGGGGCGGGGAGAAGGAGGGGGAGGGGAGAGATCAACCAAAGGACTTGCATACATGCATATAAGCCTAACCAATGGACAAAGACACCAGGAGGGTGAGGGCAAGAGTGGAGAGGTGAGGGGGGGGGTGGGGTGGGGAAGAGACAATGGGGGAATAAGAACACATATGTAATATCTTAATCAATAAAAGAAAACAAAATAATTAAAAATAAATAAAATGATCTAGTGGCATCATAAGAGGACCCAGCGTCAGCAGTACAACCAGGGTCACTTAGATCACGGAATCACAACTACCACTAGATGAGAACAAGTCAAGGAAAAACAACTAACGAAATAAAACAAAACAGAAACAATAAAAGCTCTCACTAGTGTCTGTTCCAGATGAATCTCCCGTAGCTTCTTCCCACAGCCTCCGGCAGGAAAATGTAATTTCCAGTCTGAGCCTCAGGAAACCCCAAACCATGTTCTATTCAAACGGGTTTACAAATCTCCTACAATTATTATCCTGGAAATAAGATGGCTTGGGGAAGGGTAGAAGGTGGTATGGGGGCATGTTGACTGACTACGGGATGCCCTCCGAGGACTGCCGGGCTCAGCATACTCCACGGTGCCCAGGGAGCTGGCTCTCCTGAGCTGTGTGTCCCCGGCAAAGCAGTCTAAGAACCCCTGCTGCCGAGGCAATCGCAACCATCACACATCCCAGATACCGGCAAAGGTAGCTGCCACAGGGCAGCCCCCAAGGGCTCCAACACAGCCACCCTGAGAAGTGGCCAGAAAGGCAGAACCACAAAAAGTGGCATTGGTGGAAAGCATGCTCCTTATCTCTCCCGGAGAACTTCCAACAAAATCAACAAAGGAAGTGGCACTGACGCCGATTCCCTGTGGTGGTCAGAGAGGCTCAGGCTGGGAGCTCCGGGCGAGGGCTCAGTGGCACCAGCATCTGTTTCCAAAGGAGAGCTGCTCCTGGAGCATACTTTCTCCACGGCTGGTAGGTTGCAGCGCCCCCATGTGTCCCTATGATGATGTTTCAGAGGCCAGATTCTTGCTTTTCATCATAGCCCAACACAATGTTGGTCCTGACTTCAAAATCTCAACATAATCTGAGAAGCACTTCTTTGGACTAGCCAGCAGATACTAAATGTGGATGCAAGCCAGGTTAATGTTGCCCGTGTGATTCTTTGATTTCCATACAGCTCTGCCCTCATTCTAGAGTATGAGATAAAAAGGCAGGCAGGATGGAGCTCAACGTGCACACAAACATTTGATGGTGAGCCTGTGATGTCAGAAAACCTTTTACAGGCTTAAAGGTTGCTAATGTGACTAACACCATCCAGACATGTAAGATCTTTCATTTGAAATGCTAAGTACTTATTCTCAATGATGATAAGATAGCGTAAGTAGACCCAGGCCTACTCATAAAACACCAGTGGATCAGGCACTTCAGTGTTTCATGTACATTCATCCACACATCGGCCCTCACAGCAACTCTGTGAAGCAGGTGCTCTTGTCATCCCCATCTTACAGATGAGGATGACCTTTCCAAAGTCATACAACTACCGGGCTGCGGAGGCTATAGGTCTGCTCACTGTGTAAGCTCCTTTTCAACACATCGGGGGAGGGAGATACAATTTCTCAACAAAATACTCAGGCCTGCCAAAACTGGTTTGGCCCAGTGGATAGAGCATTGGCCTGTGGACTGAAAGGTGCCAGGTTCGATTCCAGTCAAAGGCATGTACCTTGGTTGCAGGCACATCCCCAGTGGGAGGTGTGCAGGAGGCAGCTGATTGATGTTTCTCTCTTATCGATGTTTCTAGCTCTCCATCCCTCTCCCTTCCTCTCTGTAAAAAAGCAATAAAATATATATTTTTAAAAACACAAAACACCCCAAATCCTGTGTGGATGGTGAGTCTACACTCACCATCCACACAGGATTTAACATGGCAATCTGACACACTAGAAAATTGAAAGTCTTTGGAAGCTAATGGAATTAGCTACACTTAGGACAGTCATGGGGTGACTGTCCCCTTCCCTAATTTCCTCCTCTCCCCCCCCCTCCCCCATCCCAACACACACACTTTCCTCTTATTCTGAGGAAGGACAGTGAGTCGTGAACAGCATCAAATGCTGAGTGAGACACTGACAAGCTTGTGCTTCATTCCTTCCTTTCTTGGTGAAGTAGAAACAAGACCCTTGATTGAGAGGAAATGAGTAAATGGCGAAGTCCCAGAAAACAGGCTCAGCTCCTTGTGTGAGACTGATCGTGCACCCACTGAACAGTTCTCAGGGCTGGTGCCTACGCTGTTGTCGCACACACAGCAAGGGTTTCTTTTTAACCTTATATCTCACCGCGTGGCAAGTCAGTATGTTCATTGCATTTCTCCCGAGGTAAAGGCAAGAACCGGTGCCCAGAAAGAATACACATGTGCTTCCATGCTTCCAAAGACAGGCTTTAAAACAAAGAGGACCATGAACTTCCTGTGTCAATAACAAGCATGACAGTCCCCAGGCCCGCCCTGAACCATAGGGGTATGGACGGGGCTGTGTGTTCTTGGCCCACCACCCCCTCCCACTTTCAGCAACGCCAGTGGAGGGCCCCAAGGGGAGAGATACCTCGCTTCATCCCTTCTTCCTTTATCTGCTTGGAAGGCGTTGGGCCAAAGTCCTCTTCCATGGGCCTGAACATCCGTTTAACAAGGACACTGCTGCTAGAAAAGATGATCAGGGAGTATTCAGTAAAGCAGTCAGGGCACTAGCACAGAGACAGAAAGTCCCTATCTTTCCCCTTTGTTTATACCATCCCTAGTTCTCCACAACCTTCTTCTTCCCCCTGCAGGTCCCAAGTCATTCCTGTGAGAGGTAGAATGCGCCCCCCACTATTTTTAGGACATGGTCCAGAGACATATTTCTCATTGTCTACAAAGGTGAGACCTCTGGCTTTCCCTGCTCAGATCAGGGCTGGGGAGGAGCAGGAGTGAGCCCTGGTATCTGTGTGGCCTCCAAGTTACACAAGCCCTCTCTGAACTAGCTAGGGCCTGGGGGTCCTGCACTGTTCAGCCAGCCCCCTGCGGGCACGGGGGGGGGCCTGTGGAAATGGTGCAGGCCCACCTCACTGGTTCTCAGTTATAAGGCTGCCCTCACTTCCTGCTGCTCTGAGCCTCCATCTGGTTGGAGCAGATAAGCCTGCAGCGATGGAAGTTCCCTGGAGACCCAGACATGGGCTGCCCAGCTCTTCCTCCCCCTTGGGAGAGGGTTTCCATCCCCCTTCCTGAGAGCTCGGTGTGGTGGCCCAGCAAGTCCCCAACTGGGCCAGGTCTGATAGTTCTGCATTTCCTGCCAAAGTTCCCACTCTTTCTGGGCACTCTAAGGAAGGGGAGGACTGTCCTGGAGGAATGCAAATTGGAAAAACAGGCTGCCTGAAGGGAAGGCACTGATGCCATGGACCCTGTGAGCCAGCCAGGGCAAGCACCAAGCTCATCCCTATTTCAGTGACCATCAAACTAATGCTTAGCATGTTACATGTCTTACGCAGGGTGATGTCGCTGATATGTGAAAAGCGCTGTTCAGAAAACCCAACTTGGAGGGACAACCTCATGCTAAAGATACTCAGGAAACCCGAAATGATGAGTGAGGGTGTAAGAAATGATATTAAGAGTCAACATTCTCTTACTGTTATCCCCACTAAGTCAAACTATGGAAATAGCCAGAAGGAAATCTCAAACCCAAGTAAGTCCCAGGTAAAGGTGGTAATGAGTTTTTAGAGAAGTGTTTCCTCAGTCTTCCCCTCACTACCTTTTCACAAAAGTAGGTCATGTTATTCTGTCATGTTTTGGAATTGGATGGCCATGACTTCAGGAGCTGAAGGTTAAAAAATCTGTTCGCACAGCTGTCGGTGACCAGGAGGGGAATAATGGGCAAATAGCCTGAAATGTCACCAGACTGTGGAATACCGCTCTGTCATGCTGTGCGAAGGTTCCTAAGCCAGTGATTTTCTTTTCCTCCTCAAGTAATAGTTATTTGTATTTTTCCAGTTCTGCTGACTTTTGATCATGCCCCATTCTGAGCCATGACAAATTTGCCATTAAAATAACATCTTGGATAAACCACCTTTCTCCTGGGAGTTAAAAAATGCTTTCTTTCACACGTTCAAATATACAAACCCAATAGGGAGTCGATAAGTTTGTGTGGTCTGAATTCAACTGTTACATTTATTTTCAAAACAAGGCAAGAAAGGAGGGGCAGATGGGACTGCCCCATTTGACAGATGCAAAGAGAATGATGCCTGTCCAATTATACAATCGAGTATAATAACCAAGGATTCCCAGAAGAAGCCACATGGAGACTGGTAGGAAGTAAAAGGATGTGAAAAGGGCTGACCCCACACCCATGAGCTTCAGCTGAGAATCAGGAGGGATATCTCAGCCTGAGGAGATGAGGTCTGAACCCCATACGGGGCTCCCCAGCCCAGAGCACCCGAGCAGGGAAGAGGAGACCACATAACATATGGATATAAAAAATAAAAAATAAAATAAAAAAACACAAAAAAAAAACAGTGGAAATTCTGTTTCCCAGGGAGAGGCAGGAATCTGCTAGAAACCAAGAGCCCTCTCAAAGGGCCAGTGCATAAAACCTCATTCAGGGCCACTCTGGCAGAGGGCAGGTGAGAACAGACTAGAGTTGTGTGAAGACAAATTGGGTTGTGAGGCTCTGGGGATAAAGTTTAATGAAAAACACAATTTTAAGCCCAGCCAGCATGGCTCAGTGGTTGAGCATTGAGCTATGAACCAGGAGGTCTTGGTTCAATTCCCAGTCAGGGCACATGCTCAGGTTGTGGGCTAGATCCCCAGTGTGGGGTATGCAGGAGGCAATTGATCAATGATTGATGTTTCTATCTCTCTCTCCCTCTCCCTTGCTTTCTAAAAAAAAAAAATAAATATATATATATATATATATATATATATATATATATATATATATATATTTTTTTTTAAACCCACAAGTTTAAAATGGAGGCAACATTGTGGCTCACTTATGTAATTATTCTAATATTATGAGAATCGGTATTTGTGGCTTGGAATAAAATTTCTGGTGATAATCTCATGCATATGATTTAAAAAGTGCTATATCTCAACTTTGATGGTAATGAAGAATTGTCCTAATAAACAGATATGACAAAAAGTAACTCCAGTGATAAGAAAGACACCAGTGTCAAAGATGAACTGTGAATAATCTAAATAGATGTGTTTCATAAAATGACAGGTATTTCTAAATCATATAATATTATTCTTTAAATGTATGTGTAATTAAATTAACAAAGCAAGTATCAGTAGATCATTGACATTTTTTATTATGTTCACAAAGATTTACCTATTTTTGTTTTCATCTTCTCTTTGGAAAACTGCCCTATATTTGTAATCACCTTATGTATACACTAAATGGCCAGATTATCATAATAATCTGGCCACTCAGTGTGTGTGTGTGTGTGTGTGTGTGTGTGTGTGTGTGTGTGTGTGTTTTAGAGGCCTGGTGCATGAATTTGTGCATGGGTGGGGTCCAGCCAGCCAGGACATGGGCAGTTGGCCAGCCTGCCTGCTGGTTGCACTCCTGGTCAAGGAAACAATTTGCATATTAGCCTTTTATTATATAGGATATACACTAAGTGGCCAAATTATTACCCGTTCAGAGATCATAATAATCTGACCACTCAGTGTATATAGTAAAACACATGGGAATTTGGGGAGAAGTCAATGAAATAATACATATAAAGCACTTTGTACGGTGTCTAGCCAAGACAGCCAATAAATGCTATTCCTTTTACATATAACAAGAGCCAAGAGCCTGCTATAGATGATCACTGAGGCTGCCCAAATTGCTCAAATGACCTCTAGTTAGAAGGCGTGTAAAAGGGACTTGGGCCTTGGGCGTTAAGATTGTAACAGAGGATAATTCTTACAAAGGCTAAGCCAAAAGAGTTAGGTCCACTGGTCACCTAAATGCTGCCAACTTGCAAGGAAGGACCATTGAGGCTAAGATAGGTTAAGTGAGGCCTGCACATGGAGCAGCATTCACATTGGGCGTTTCTCATTCATGCTAAGGTTTCCCAGGAGAATAATAAAAGTTAGTCCAGATGGGATCTTAGAGATCATCGTATTCTATAAAACCTTCATTTACAATTGAAGGACCCAAAACTCAGAGGTCAAGGAGCCGGCCCCCGGCTCCCCATTAGTGAGCTGCAGTCTGGGAGAGCAGACTCAACGTTCTTTCCATGACACCACACTGTCCCTTGTAAAATATGTGAATAACAGATTAGAATTGATAGCGCTAATCACTTCTGTTCATTCCAGCCTCTGGAAATTATCCAGGTGCCAAGATAAAAAGAACAATTAATTAAGCATTTAGAAAATTTAGAACTCAAGAGTTTAGAGGTCAGATTCTGGACAAGGTTCTGCTTCTAACCAGCTGGGGAAGTGTTTGACTCCTCTGAGAGTCTCTATCCTTTAGGACAGAAGGTGGCACCCTTTTTCTGTGAAGGGCAGACTAGCCAGCACTTGGGCTTTCTGGGTTCCACAGCCTTTTCTTCAACCACTGAGCTCAGCTGTGGTCCCACCAATGCGGCCACAGACAAGACATAAAGGAATTAACATGGCTGTGTTCTAGTGAAATTTTATTCAAGTGTCCACTTGAATTCCATAGAATTTTCAAGAGTTTGTGGACAATACAGAAGCAAGTGATGGGTCCTTAGGCTGTAGTTTGCTCAGCTCTGCTCTGGAAAGTGAGTTCAGCAGTATCTACTATACTTACTTCACCTTGAAATGTTTCAGAAGTAAATACGTTCATGATATTAAGAATATGGAAGCCCTGATTTGAATGCAATTTGAAAATAAGTGGTCTAGAGATTTTTAGTTATATCCGTGTAGTGCAAGCCAAGATCTTAGGTACACATATGTAGTGTAACGTAGATACTAAAAAATGAATGTAGTGGTAGATGTTTTTAAGAGAAAAATACCATCCAGATCATACAAAGAACTAGAGCCAATGAGTAGTAGTCAAAAGAAGGTAGACCCCAGTTCCACAAACTACCTTTCTGAGGGATGGAGTCACCCAACAGTAATGGACTACCTCACACACGGTGAGAACATTCAGAATATTTCCATAATTTCTCGAGAATGTGGTATAAGAGATCACATGCCTAGGAGAGAGGGTCGGCTAAATGACCTTGAAGGATCCTTTTTAGCTCTAAAATCCTAGGAGTCTATACAGTGAGTTGTGGATAGCAAGCAGTGGGCAGTCTTGACGTGCAACAAACAAATTGAGAGCCTTGGGTGACCTAAGGACCGTGAAAAGGCTCTCCGCCTTCCCAGCTCCCACCCCCACCAGCCTCACCACTAGCCCACCCCGCTCTCCCCAGAGTGAGGGCTTCCGGAGGTACGCCAGGTGGCCCAGGTAACACCGAAAGTAGGCAGGCTATATCCTTGACACTTGCCTCAACTTAGCTTGTTCTTCCCCAAAATATTATTTCAGTAACTGGATTATCGGTAGAAAGGTGGAATTGAGGAGATGCATCGTGTAGAAAAATAACTGGTCGTTCAAAGGCAGGCCAGAGGAAGGAGAAAGAGGGAGAGATTTGGAAGGAAAATGGTATTCCCCCAGCCTTCCTCTCGGTGCCCGGAAGCAAGCATTTCTCAGCTCTGAGCCTGGAGGTGAGAGGACAGTCTACTGAAATGAACCGACTTTGGGTGTTTAAGTGAAAGAACTGAGTGTCTTACCCTTCTCGCTCATCATCCGTGTTATAATACACCTGCGGAACAAAACAATAGGCTTACTGTAGGTCAGTCAGAAGTGGAAACATATTATGCAATGCACAGTCTTTCCTAAGGCATTACACCGTCTCGTAAAAAAAAGACAAATCTGTGTAAAGATGCTATGCATGTGTGTGTCGAAGGAAATACACATTTAACCTCATATTCTCCATAAGGTCAATTCTTATACTTCAATGAGATAAAATTGGAAATGTGATTATTTCCAGCTAAGACAGTCTGATCAGATTACCTATCGCCCTTTTGCTTTTGACAATAAGGAAATATTTTAGCAGAAGCTAAGAAGCATTGTTTAGAAGGGCTCCAGGGCAGGACCATGAGTAAGCAATCCCAGTGGCCCACGGGTGAGCTGACTGGACACTGTGCTTATGTGCCGGGACCGGAGCAAGAGGGTCCCATGGCAGTGCGGCAGTAACTCTGTGTGCTCCTCTCAAGGGCCCAAGTTCCCTGGCATCCTCCAAGCACAAAAATTTAGGAGTCAACTGTCTTCAAGCTGGAAAAGGTCATTTAGCTCTTAAAAGCATTTCTGGCCAGAGAGAGATCTCCAAGAAAAGACTCATGCCCTAACCGGTTTAGTTCAGTGGATAGAACATAGGCCTGCAGACTGAAGAGTCCTGGGTTCAACTCCAGTCAAGGGCACATGCCCAGGTTGGAGGCTCCATCCCCAATAGGGGGCATGCAGGAGGCAGCTGATCAATGACTCTCTCTCATCATTGGTGTTTCTATCTCTCTTTCTTTCTCCCTTCCTCTCTGAAATTAAAAAAAAAAAAAAAATCTATTTAAAAAAGAAAAAGAAAAGACTCATTTAGTTGGTCAGAATGGCGGTAAGCAGAATCAGAATGAAAGCGATTATGAAGCATCCTTCTCATTTTGTGAAGCAGCAGGGAAACTCCAGAGGGGATCTGAGATGTACATAGGTTCCCTTGACCCAATGACTTATACAAATTCATTGTGGACCTTTCCTAAAATTTATCTGTGTGCTTCAAGACCATTTTTGCTTGGGCGAGGAACAATATCTAAGTTAGAATCAGACACACGTGTTAATTACAAAAGTCGCCCCTAGAGCTAATACATTTTGTCACTGTCCCTGCCCCAGATGCCTGGGAGAGAAACAGCTGTGCCTGGATGGACACCCTTCCTACATACTTTCCGGGCAGTTCCTGGGATCCTGCCACACCCTGGCGTAGTTGCATAACAGAGCTGGTTACCTGGAACTCTTCGGGAATGAGCCATCTAGTCATTAGCTCAGATTTCCAGGAGGAACTTTCCACTCTTAACTGTCTTATGCCCGTTGTTGTATTATATAACTCTCTTACTTTCTTTTTAAAAAAATATATTTTATTGATTTTTTTTACAGAGAGGAAGAGAGAAGGATAGATAGTTAGAAACATCGATGAGAGAGAATCATCGATCAGCTGCCTCTTGTACACACCCCATTGGAGATGTGCCCGCAACCAAGGTACATGCCCTTGACCGGAATCGAACCTGAGACCCTCGAGTCCACAGGCTGATGCTCTATCCACTGAACCAAATCGGTTTTGGCCTCTGTTTCTTCTTAAACAGAAAAACGATGAAGCCAAGATCTTCCTAGCACTGGCCACCCCACTGGATTTTTTGTAAGAAGTTCTTGATGTTGACCTGTGTTTTACTGGATTCTTTCAATGTGGCATACAGCATCTGCCCTGCCTGGCTACATGGATAATGGACAGTTCTTTGCACAGCTGGGTGGTGACTCAACGATGGAGCAGCCTTCCCTTACGTTTGGCCTCCTGAATGGCTTCTGCTACCCTGTCCCTGTCACCATCCTGCCACTGTCATTTCTCCTCTTGCCTAATGACCCACTGTTTCTCCCTTGTCCTTTGTAGGATTTATTCCACTCATTTAATTTTTATGGTGTTTCTCAAACTTTAAAGTGCATAAAAAAAATCACCTGGAGACCTTGTCATAAACGCCAATTCCTGGAACCCCTTCAGAGAGTTTAACTGAAAAGATCTAGAGGGGAACTTAGGAACCTGAAGCTTCTGTGGTTTGGGGGAGGACTGCTTACCAACCACCACGGGGGGGGGGGGGGGGGGGGGGAGGCGCAGTGCCCTCCTTGGGGTCTAGTGCTTTAAGGAAGGCTGATACCTGCAGAGCACACGTTATGCAGGAAGGTGAGGCCCCTGCAGCCGCACTTTCTCCCGAGCTCCCTCATCATTTGTTTTTAAAGGCCTTCCAGACCCAAGCTGCAGTGAATTATCAGCACCAGCGTGAGGAGAGGGAAACTGGCAATCTCCATAGTATAGATCTCCATAGAGCTTACACGGTGGGTCCCTTCCCTCATGCGAGTTTTTGGTAATCTGGTAAACATTCCACCCCACGTGTGAATCGGTGAGATCATGGGGGAGGAGGGTACGATGGTGAAAGCCCCACTCTCCAGTCTGTGCTCTTTTCTTCACACATCTTTAATTTATCACATAAAATAATTAATGGTAGAGATATTACAGAAAGAAAAATCAGCCACATATCATAACTCTACCATCAAGTGTTTTAACTGTAATATATATATATATATATATATATATTTGGAATCACTATAAAGAACAAACGGTATTCTACCTTTTTTTCATTATCATAACTAGTTCCCATTTTGCTACATAGTTTCTATCACCATAACGTTAGTGACCACATAATATTCCATCGGCTTGAACTACCATAATGAGTTATTAGATGTTTATGTTATTTTAATATTAGTTCTTTCATTTCACTTGTAGATATACCTAGAAGACAGGAATTGTTTTTTTAAAAGGCTTGTCTACAATGTCATTTTTCTTTGGGTGTAAAATGATTTAGCTATTTAATGGAAACTGTTAATTTACTAAGGGGAAAATTGTTGATAGGGCTTTGTTTAAATGCAGAATTTTGCAATGTGAAGTTATAGGTACAGTTCAACTTCCCGCCATTAGGTGGGGCTCTATTGCATCAGTGCCAATCCCATGTGAGGAAACTAACAAAACTTCTTACAGGTTATCAGCCTTCTAACTTTCTTCCTTTCGGTGCTTTGTCAACACTTCACTACTATCAGCTTATTCTCTTCTTCTCCGTAGTAAGTTGGTTTCCTCCCTTGAGACATTCCTTTGTATGAAAATCCATTTTCCGGGGGGATTGACTGATTGCCCAGTGTCTGTTTTATTTTTAAGGGCAACGCTGTCTGAAATGATTCTATCTGAGGGCCTTAAGGCTCTACCATGCCCACGGATAGATGGCATGTAGATGTTATCAGGCGGCTCATACCTGTCCTGTCCTCTGCAGGTTTGCAAAGTGAACATCGGGGATGAAGAGGACTGGCTGTGAGTGTAGATCAGGCATCGTTTTGAAGTAGGTGATGTCACTCTTCTTTTGTAAAGGTATGGCTGCCAACTTTCCATCAGAGGCTGGATATTAAAAAATGATCAGAATTCAGAGGGTTACACATGACTAAGAACTCTCAAATGTAAGCTCTAGTCTTAGCTACATTTCATGACTTTCTCCTATGAAGTTTTCCAAATGCCATAGATGACCCCCCCCATTCCCACTGCCAAGCCAACAGAAAAAGCTCAAACTTCGAGTGAGCACTCCTGAGGTGGACTGCTGTTCTCTCATGCCCCCCGTCCCTCTATGTGTCCTAGGTTTCTTTCTTAAAAATGTTACTGACTTTATTGGGCTGACACAGGTTAATAAAATTATATAGGTTTCAAGTGTACAATTCTATAATGCACCACCTGTATATTGTATTCTGTGTTCACCACTCAACGTCAAGTCTCCTTCCATCACCATTGATCGCTCCTCTATCCTCTTTTAACCCCCTCCCCCTTTTCCCTCTAGTAATCACCATTCTGTTGTCTGTGTCTGTGAGTTTTTTTATTTGTTTGCTTGTTTATTTAATCCAGGCGTCCTCAAACTTTTTAAAGTGGGGGCCAGATCACGGTCCCTCAGAGAGCTGGAGGGCCGGACTATATGAACTACTAATTCCTACTGTAACACCTCGGCTGCGCTCACTGCCCAAAAAACCTGGCGGGCCGGATCAGACTCCTCTGCGGGCCGCATGTGGCCCGCGGGCCGTAGTTTGAAGACCCCTGATTTAATCCATTCACCTTTTTCACCCAGCTTCCCATCCCTCTCTGTGTCCTAGATTTCTTGTCTGTAAATGGCAAGTGTTGGTCTCAATCATATTACAAAGTCTGTCCTCGAGCAAACATTCTGTGATCAATGATTCTATTTGCTTTTCACAGGGACAATTGACTCTAGGGAACAGCAAGTAATCCCTTGCATGTCTGTAGTTCCTCCTGCAACCCACTTCTTCCTGCCTGCTCCCTAGTGGACCCAACGAGCCCATCCCTTCTCAGTGACACTCACAATTGTTGCACTGGGTTTGGGAGGCCTGGCCTTTCCCCTTCTTCCTGTTCTGCTTCCTCTCTTCATCTCGGATTTTTCTTTCTGCTCCCTGAGAGGGGAAAACAAATACAGACAATGCCAGGCATGTTATCAAAGCACACAAAAACACTGCTGCATGCAAATCACACAGACGAGAGACAAAAAAAAGGGAAGGAGGAGAGCAGGCAGTCCCATTTCCATCCCCTTAGTGAGGTCAGACTCAGTTCTGAAGGCTGAGGGATCTCACATCTACTAGATTTCTTTCTTTTTTGGTATCTTGACTAGCTACACATGTTCAGCTTTGAATCCCTACAGAAAGACCAGACCCAGGTCCCTGTCACAGTGAAGCCACTTAAGTAACTTACTGATTATAATAAATGTCCTATGGCCCATTAGCTTCTTTCATAGACACTGAAAGGGCATTAAAGTTGAGTGTGAACTCCCTATGAAATCTTCTCTTTGCTTGCTGTGATGGAACTTTTCTAATCATATAGTAATGGAAATGAGGGAGGACATAAGGAAACTAGACAGGCTATAAGATTACTTTGTACATACACTGTGACTTTATGTTTTGTTTTGTTATGTTCATATGGCCTTGGAGATGGTGCTCATTCAACCAAATAGAAAAAAGTCTGGTCTAGCCCTGGCTGGTGTGGCTCAGTTGACTAGAGAACCATCCTATACACCAAAAGATGGTAGATTTGATTCCTGGTCAGGGAACATATCCAGGTTGCAGGTTTGATCCCCAGTCTGGACAACCAATGTTTCTCTCTCATATCAATGTTTCTCTCTCTCTCTCCGATCAATTTTTTAAGGTTTATTCTCTTCCTTTTGTTCCTCTGTTCCTTGTAACCTGATTTTTTCATTGGCTTCTCTTCCAAATCAGCATCTATCTCTTTCCTTCTTGGCTTTTGAGGATTTCCTGATTATCCTCTCCTCTCTTTCAATTTTCTATGTCAACTTTGCTAACTCAGTTTCCACTTCTCAACCCCAAATACAGATATTTCAACACCGTTTCCTTTTCCCTTCTCTCTCTCCATTCTTGATGCAGAAGAATTCATCTGCACTCATGTTTCCAAGATATTTTAAAACAGGTGAGAACCAGATAGACATCCTCATACTAAACTACATTTCAGATTCGCATTTACAGTCCTTGCCCTATGTGGCAGCATATTTAAGGAGCACTGAAACCTGAACTGGCCACCATCCTCTAACCTTTTAGAAACTGACCCCCAAATCAACACACCCAAAAGATAGATTTGGTAGTATTAAAATTATCCTACTATTACACAAAAATATATTATTTCAAAGCCAAGGGACAAACTGATGAAAATACTTGCAATAAAAGTGTTCAATCTTTAACCTACAATGATTCAAATAAACATAAAAATAAAAAACCAACATAACAAAGAAAAATGGACAAAGGTCATGACATAGGCAATTCACACTTATTTTATAGGAGCCATCTCCATTCCAAAAACCTCTCAATGAGATCCCACTAACCCCAAAGAATAACAAAGGTTACATTGATGTGTTCTAGGACAGGATCTACATCCAGTAAAAACTACTAAGCTATGATTTCACTTATCTAAGTGAACCAGACTCAGCACAATAGTGTCAATTAGTCATTAAATTAGTGGTAAAAATGACTAAAAATAGAGTTGATTGATGACTCCCTAGGTATCTAATAGGAATTGAGAATAAAAGATTACCACTCCCACTGTGATTGATAAGGTGATTATTCTGACACCACTAGACAAGAGAAGGTGACAAGGGGGAAATGTCATTGAAAGTAATATCTAATAACAAAGATACCTTTATGACAAACTGTCATCTTTACTCACTTTGTCGCAGAAGACCTTGATCTGGCAATAAGCTCTATGAATGGGTTTATTACTACGATTATTATAACTGTATGTATCAATCTGAATCATCAAAGGAAGTCCTTTCACCCCTTTTTGGGACGAGAAATCTGTACTCAGGCAATTCACAGTGATGAAGATCTAAGGGAGGAAGAAAGAAAAAAAAGTTCATAAATCACCAAAAGAAAGGTCTATTAACAAACATGTAAGTCTTAGATTGGAAATCAAAATACTAAATGCATATGTAAGGATAACTAAAGAATAGTTGGACAGTCTGACATAAGAACATGTTGAGCATATAACACATGATAGAGTGCATAATTTATAAACATGTAAAAATTTTTGCTTTCCTAGTTAATTTAAAACAGACCATTAAGATTACTTTCCTTAGCCAAGACCAGTTTGGCTCAATGGATAGAGTGATGGCTTGGGGACTGAAGGGTCCCGGGTTCGATTCTGGTCAAGGGCATGTACCTTGGTTGCGGGCATATCCCCAGTAGGAGGTGTGCAAGAGGCAGTTGATCGATGACTTTCTCTCATCGATGTTTCTAACTCTCTATCTCTCTCCCTTCCTCTCTGTACAAAAATCAATAAAATATATTTTTAAAAAAATAAAAAATAAAATAAAATAAAATAAGATTACTTTCCTTAGATTATATCAGCAAAATCTTACTTATTTTTCAACGTGCATGCATTAGCTGGGTAAGACATTACTTCCTTAGCATGTTAAAGCTATGGCTTCTAGTAGTTATATCAATTTCTCTAATGTATGATCAATGGAATAAAAAAACACACAACCCAAACCCAAACTAGATAACAGCTTCCCTGGAGCATTATTATTCTGAAACAGTTATTTGTTTACATACTATCTAACCTTTCTACTTGACTATTAAGTATAAGATTTGAGACCATTTCTTATTACTTTTGTATTACTGGTACCTAATATAGTGCATGGAGGAGAATGGGCAGCCAATAAACATTTGATGAGCTTATCTGTAAAAATATACTAAGTTGGGAGTCAACGTCCCAAGTTTAAATCCCAGCTCTAACCAGCTAAGAGACCTCAGGCAAGTCCCTTAATGTCTTCAGTTTTCAATTTTCATTTTAAATCAGAATGTAAATACTATTATAGAAGCGAGAACATGAAAGAGGAGCTGGAGAAGGTAAGACAAGAAACAGGAAGAAAGAAATGTAGTAGACACCAGCATCCTCAGCTTACAACATGAGGCATCGAGAGACACAACAGAAATTATATGAATTAAAAAAAAAAAGGAAACTCAAATAAATTATTAAAGAGTACAGTGCTGACCAACAGAAGAACTAAAAATATAACTTTATTATAAAATATTGAGAGGAATAGAGGGAGGAGTGTAGGTAGGTGTCAATACATATAATTTAAAGTTGATTTATCATAGTATAGAGGTATGAGTACAGTACCTAGATTTCTGTGGTAACTAATATAAATATTAAGAGTTGTCTCTGGGAAAAACTGGGTATGCTGTATTATACCCTTGGTGCTGTTTTTCATTTAATACCACATGTATTATTTTTACTTAACATAAAATTTAAATCACTCATTGTTTTAAAGTTATACATTTATTTATTCTGAAAGTAATTTCATCAAATGTATCTAACCCAAACTGCATTTTTAAAAGGTTTGATCTAATTAATTCCAAGCTCAATGCCTATAGGCTTTTGGAAACTTATACAACCAGATATCTAATTTTTAGTGCTATGTCTATATAAGGGTCATTTTTTCATTTTATTTTTAAGCTCTTTACTTGGCAATAAGAAACACATTAGCAAGGCACCACACATCAATAGCAGGCAAGGCCAGATGACAGATCTTAATAACATGCTAATTACAACAACCTTGTGCCTTGTGACACAGGCTCTCACTCTTCTAGCCAACATCTGAAAACAAGTGCCTAAAGATGGCCTAACCATTCATTTCATTTCATTCATCCCTATTATTGGTTCGCTCATTCATTTATCCTATCAACATCAACACACACCCACAGTGAGTCACACACAGAGTTAGACACTGTGGATAGAGAGGAAATCCAGACCCCTGCCTACAGAGTCCAAAGGGAAGACAGGTGAGGAATCCAGCTATGACCGCACAGGGTGGTCAAGGTACTCCACATAGGATAGAACACAGAACCTGAGAACACGAGCAAAATACAAAACCCACACAGACACTGGGATAAGACCAGGAATTCCACAAATGCTTGTTTATTTGGGAATGGTAGAGAAAGCCGGTGATTCAGAATGCAGATGTCAAGTGATTCAGGGGACTGAGTGGTAAAGACTACTAAGAAAGAGTGTGTATGCCATGCCTGACTCTCCTACTCAATGTCCCTGGCTAACGTAGACAGAAACATCTCTCCATTGCTCCTGGAGATGCCCTACCTGCAGGAGAACATTCATTCATGGCACAAAATTATTTTTAAACACCTACCATGTCCCTGTCTGAGATTGTGCAACGTACTAGCACAAATGCACGGATTATGTTCCGGGCAAACAGAGAAGTCAGAGGCTAGATGGAGAGAGGGACATGATGCTGCTGCAGAGATTATAACTCCATTACATGCTGATCTTTAGATCAAAAAATAAAAGCATACTTTCTTAGGAACACTTGCATTTTTTTAAACTATTAATACTGGCAACGGGGTTATCTTGGCCCGAATATGTAAACATAACTTTATGTCAGCAAATCTAATGATCACTCTAGTGAGCAATGCAGTTGTCCCTAATTTTGGCCACGTGTTTCATATACAAATCTCCCAGTTGGTGTTGTAATCTACTGGGGCCTTGATCCACACTGGCTATTGTTCCACTCCTCAGAAATCCTGCCCCTTATTGCAGAAGCCAGAGGGGAAAGGTGTTCTGATGAATATTTCCTAAGCTATTCGGACTCACGGTTGGCTTGCTGATTTATCCATATGTCACTCACAGTGGGCATACACTCAACAGGCAGGCAACACTATTAATGGTGGCCTTTGTCAGCTCCAAGTCTCAACTAAGAGAGCTGGGCTGATTGAATGTATATTCTTACAAAGGCCACTTCAGCAGGATGGAGCCGCTGAAATTACGGATACTTACTGGCAATATACAACAACAAATAGACTAAATCCTTCTCAGAGGAGCAATAACCATCAACCACCCAGTAGAGAAGGTCTCTAAAGGTCAAATGAGCTATAATAGACTAATAGACTCTACTGGGAAACACTTAGACTAGGTCCTCTTAATAGCGAGGGACCCTTAGTAGAAGGTCCAATGGGCTCGCTTTGATTCATGCCATCCTGATTCCATAAAAAGTAAACAACAAAAGAATTGGTTTCCTTGGCTAAATGGTGTGGCCCTCCCAGAGTCATCCTTAGAGACAGGGATATATAACAAGCTTTGGCACCGTTTTCCTCTTGCCTGGCTGCCCAACCTAATAGCAAAGCAGTTCAGGTACCCGATGGTATCAATTGTAGTCTCGCTGTGGTGCACTCACAACCCAAATAGTTGAACTTTAACTGCAGTTGGGGCAGCGGGTGGGGGTGGGAAGGCACAGAAGCACATTAACTAAAACCTTGGCTTGGGAACTGATAAGCATTCGTTTGTTTCATCTTGCAAACCCAACCATGTCTCAGCTCCAGGCACAGCAGGCAAATGCGAGATCAAATTTCTTGGAAGTTTATCTACAAAGCACTGTTTGTAAATGTGTATTACCGAAACTTAGCGAAAGGTGTGCTTTTCCCCCACCAAACGTTCATCCAAATGTCAGGCACAGAAAATCCTGTTTAGCTTCATAGAAACCCTGATTATGTAAAGAGCATATAAATGCCATGAACAATTGATCTGTTACCCAAGAGTTATGCATGTTATGTATGCTCATACAATATTTTCAAAACCTCCGTTATTTGTTTCCCTATCATTCTGACAGTACATAATTTTTAGAAAAGTAGCCATTAAAACAGGTGTATCCAAGCAGATAACAGATGCAATTTGAATTCTGTCACTGCATCACGGATTGAGTCAGACAGAAAAATTGTTTCAAAATGTACCAAGACCTTTCCAGAAATAGAGGCAATCTCATGACAACTGACATTTAAAAAAAAATTTTTTTTTACATGTGAATTACAATTCCCATTTGGTGGTTTCTACACAAGGTAAGTGTCTTTGCCCAGGTTATAATACCTCCCGGTTGTGCACTACATGTAGTAAGATTTATTAAAATAAACACAGATCAATGATGGGCATTAGCATGGCTACATTAAGTTGATTATTAACACCCGAGATTTTTCTGAGAGCTTGCAATTAAAAGAAATGGGCTGATCTTTGATTTACAAAGCAATTTGAAATTTAAAATATCGTAACATCCAGGAGTTGATGGAAAGCATTTTTCTCTTTAAACAAGTGTATCTTGCATTTTTAGGAAGACCCCTCTGATCAAAGACTATGAAAGCTCTTCATTTCCTAAGGTGGAGACTCTTTTCCAAGAAGTGGCACGTGCATTAGCCTCCAAATTATAGGGCCATAAAACCAGCGTTTCCACTCTGAAACACAGACAATATGTAAATATATCAGGGTGCTCTTGCCAATTTCCCTATTCTGGTTTCCCTTTGGTTCTTAGGATTGTCAAAGGCCTTCAGGATGGTTTTCTTGCACTTTTAGCATTTTCCTTCTATTTTATACAATTATATTTGGATGCAGATACAATGCCAAATAAGACGAGAGACAGACTAAAGATAGAGAACGTTAACAAGTGACATCTTGGGCATTCATTCGTTCCTTCCTGCATTAATTCACCAACCACTTATCAAGGGCCTGGAATTATGCTGGGAGGCGGAAATAAGAATGACAGGCTAGAGGAGATTCCCTGCCCTCAGAGAGCTTGCTATTTTGTTGAGGATCTAAGAAACAAATTAATTCCCTGACTCCTCCATTTATTTATTTATTTATTTATTTATTTATTTATTTATTTATTAAATATATTTTATTGATTTTGTACAGAGAGGAAGGGAGAGAGATAGAGAGTTAGAAACATCGATGAGAGAGTGACTCCTCCATTTAGATAGCACTTTCAGGAAATGATTTAAAACCTGATGGTATATTTCTCTTTTCTCCTATAAATGCTTTGGGCACCTCTG